CACACACTGCCAGCTACAACTGTATCTATGTGCATGCTTATATGTATCTCAATCCACATCTGCAGCTAGCCTGCAAGTGCAACTGATCCATCTAGCTGAGGCTGGTTGGATAGTTCTATGCAATCATTTAACAAACACATCATGAAAATTCAATTCAAGTCTGTGTTTACGTCGACTCCAGATGATATTGCTTTTTAATTGCGGACTCGAGCGGAAATTGCTTTCACAAACACACAGGGACACACACATGTGGACACAACTAGCAGAAGGAGTGCCCAATGACATTTTGCTTGGCTTGGCACACGAATGGGTGGACAGGCACGGGCGACGGCGGCTTCTGAAAACTGGCAGCGGAAGTGCGTTGATTGCATGACTCCAGGAACTGGGAAGTGTGTGCGGGCAACTGGAGAGCTCCAAAACTTCCCTTTTGCCATTTGCCTGACCTCAAAAACTTTGACCTTTTGGATAACCCCGCAGGACTAAAGCCGTGTTTGTGCAATCTGTAAGGAAGAGGATAAGTTGGTTGCCATTAAAAGTGGTAAAAAATCCTTTATTTCCAAGGCTACACAATGCCTCAGCAAAGGGTATGTACATTTTCTTTTCTCTATGCTGACCTTTCGTGCCTTGTTCTCAATTCTTTTTCTGTTTTGCTTTTAATTGCATCACATGCGCCATGCAATTTATAATTGGAATCAACTCCAGCAAGAGCCCAACCACCCTCTCACACACACTCACACACCCACAGAAGTACACCTCACACACACACATGTACCCCACATTTACACGTAGTTCGCGCTCTCATTTAATATGAAAGTCACAGAATGTGAGCTAATTGAAAACACTTGCAATATTTATGAGCAGCGCAACATGTTGCCAAAGCACTTGACTCCCAATGGCACACAGAGAGAGAAAGAGAGCAGGAGCAGCACGCCTGGCAACATGCTGCCAGGCTAATAAAACAACAAAATGATTTTATTATAATGGATTTATAACGCCAGACAAGAGCAAACAGGCTATTAGACAGAGAAGGATAAGCACGGCCAGAGAGAGAGATACACATCTCTACATACAAACCCTAACAAGAGTGTGCTGAGAGAGACAAAGAGCAGGGGAGCAAGACAGAAAGGGAGAGCAGCATAGCTAGAGCGAGCGAGAGTGCGAGAGAGAAGGAAGAGCTACATGCACTTTTGAATTGAGACGCAAACGCGGGCAAGAAGAAGTCCATTAAGCGCAATGTTGTTGTCATCATTTAATGCTTTTTGTTGCTTTACTGTCGGGATGTCGAGAGGAGTTCGTTCTCCCCTCTCATACTCTTCATCTCTTCCGTGTGTGTGTGAGTGAGTGAATGAGAGCAATTTCAGCGCTGCGTGTGCGCATTTGCAGCTTCGTGCTGTTGCTGTTGCTGTTGCTGCTGCTGCTGTTGATTCTGTTACCCTTGCAAATAGGGTATTATGATTTCGATCAGTTGTTTGTTAAGCCAAGACGGGAAGGAAGTGAGTGGTGCATTGCTTAATGCTGCGCTTAGTAGCAATAAATCTGAAAGAGTATTCCACTGCCCTTGCAGCCTCGCGTCTTTATTGCAGCCTGCAGCATAAATGGCCCCCACTGTGCCGGGCATCGCTTGCCTTAAGTGGAGATATTTATAATAAGTTTATTTACTTGCTTGCCAGTCCCCCCTCTCGTAACAAGCCATTCCAGTCAGATGTTGCCTGAGCCATCCTTTGCCACGCGCAACATGTTGCTGGGGCATGCCTCGTTTGTGTGTTGCGGAGCTTGTTTGGCGCTTTGGGGCAATCACATTCACAGTTGTAAATTTTTGTTTTTGCGTTAACGACCGAACCGAACGGGCTGCCGCGGCCGGTTTCAATCGTCATCATCGTTTGTCGTTTGCCGTCGCCGTCGTCGTTATTTGTCGTCATCGTTAGAGCGCTTGTTCCGTTGTTCCGCCGCGTGTTTTTCGCTCGTCAAAGAGTGAACCCATTGAGGTGGGTTATCCAGTGATGTGGGAACTTGTAATTGAACTATAAAATTAATCAAACCTCCGAGGTAATAAACAACAAAATTAGGCAACAATTCTTCAATAAACTTCAAAGTAAATCCCATTTAAATCTCACAATTTAGTCATTAAAAGAGCAAATCCATTGAAGCTAAAAGTAAGGCCGTGTTTTTTGTGTGTTCGTGGACTGACTGGCTTCATCAGCATCATCATAATCAGGGGCATCATCAGCAGCAAGAGCAGCAACAGCATTCATCAGCGGGCATCATCACCCCATGCAACGCACAATTTGTTTTGCATGCAGCCTCAAACCATGGGGAGAGATTCCCATCTTCTTATTGCTGTGTTTATTTTGAAGTGGGTCCCGGACTCAGTCTCAGTCGCAGTTCCAGTGCCTCTTCGTATTCCTATTCAAGTATATCTAAATTGCTTCATCTTTAACATCAGCAATCTCCGCATCTCAGCATCCAGCATCTTCTTGTTGATGTTATTTCTTGTTTCATATTTTCGTAGCTATTTTTAGTAGCCTCTCTCCTTCGCTCTGTCTCCGTCTCTGTCCTGCCTTGCTTCCTTCCTTCTTTTTGCATACACCACTCGAACTGGGACTGCGAGTCCGCGCCCCTTCTAGCGAATCTTCAATTCAATTTTGCCTGAAATGAGCAATCAGGCTGCCGCCGAAGAGGGTCATTGTTATTGCCCCATTGTTGTGCTTCCACTCTAATGATGCCCGGCCCGAGGGGTGGAGAGGGGGTGCGAGCTTAAACTGTTGCTCGGGCAGCATGAAAAACTTTAACCGTTTAAGAGTTCATTGCCAGATCATTAGGAAGCTCAACGATTATGGCGCTGCTCTCTCTCTCTCTCTCGGCAGTGCAATGATTGCTGCAACAGACTTATGGCCATGCATTAATCACTGGCCACAATTATACGTGGAAATCAATTGGCGATAGCCTAAAAATAAAGCGCAAATCAAACAAAACGGGGCTGGGGGAGCATGAGTAATCGGTCTTATCAATAGCATAATATCGCCCATTATTAATCGCCTTCATTACAGCTAATTGAGCTGTCGCTCGCTCCCTACACACATTACTTATAAATAACAACAAGAAACACACACACACAAATTGCTGACTAATCCTCCACCCCACCCCACTGCCAGCAACAACAAATTGAATTACGAAATATGGAGGAAGGCACAGAGAGTGAATGGCTTTTGTGTGTGCAGTGACCCAGAGCGGGGTTCGTTCTCGGGAAATGAAATTATACACCAATTATTGCCGAAGAAAAGCTTCAAGCAAAGCTCCCCACTCCCCCCAGCTCCACGAAAAAAAACGTTTGAAAGAAATTCCAAAAGGAGAACTGCAAAAACAGCAAGAGAAAACACACAGAAAAGTTGCGGGGTAAAGTTTTTGTTGCCACAAAATCTCAATAATTAATCAAATAATAAATCTCAGTGAACAATTAAGCAGCGAAAGACAAAGCCAGCCCAGCCAGGCTGAAAGGCTGTGGCAATGGGAAGCCGTTGCCTCAGCATTAATTAGCGCTAAACGTTGTGGCGCAACAACGCCAGAAAAATACATAGAAATAAAGTCAGAACAACTAGATTGATACCCTATAGTGGGGCAGGTGTAAGCTGATTGGGATTGCATTTGTCTTCGGTGTTGCAGAATTTAATTCTACATTTTATGGGATTAACGTTTTAATTACAAATTCTACAAAATATTTGAATTCGTTATTAAATTAGCACCAAAGGAATAAAATGTATCACCGCCGAATTTTAGGATTATTTTTTATGTATTTTAACAGATTAAATGCGAGAATTCTGCTACATTTCAGCTGAATTAAGTAAACAAATCAGATTTAAATTTGTGGCGCTTAATCCTTGCCTAATCAAATCAGCTTTACCCTTCAAATGTCAATAAATCTACAAACTCTGCATTGCCAACTTCTAATCAAAATCATAATTCCCTGTGCCAGAGCATAGCCAAAGCCAGAGCAACAACCAGCAGAATATGAACTCCAACACTCCAGCCAAGTCCACACTCCCCAAAGCAGCATCCGCCGCCAACTTATTAAAGTATATGTACATATAACTTAATTATAGAGAATTAAAAACAAACTCAGAGACAGAGACACAGACACAGAGCCAGCGACGGCGGCAATTTGCAATGCAAAAAGATACACAGATACAGCCAGAAGAGCATACTTAGAGCGGATAGAAGAGCGAGACAGAGAACGAGAGCGTGAGAGAGAGAGAGAGAGAGGATGAAGTGCTATAGAAAGGCAGGAAGGCATGGGAACAATCAAAGCAATAAAACACATTCAGCATTTAATAATCATCGCCCCAAACCAACAAGCAGCGCGGCGGAGTCAGCCTCAAAGATACAAAAGCTCCAAGTCTGCCAGCCAGCAACAAGCGTCGGCAGACGGGCAGCAACATGTTGCTAAGCAATGAAACGAACTGAACCGAATGGCCAGACGAGCGCCAATTTTTGAGATTCCCACACACACAAACACGAGCATACACACACACTGACACACGGATACGAGACCCCAACGAGATACAATTAAGCCGTAATGCATATGAAAATTTGTGTTTTATTGCCGTGCGTTATGTTCACGTGCGCGCGGCAACTGTTTGTGTCTCTATCTTTCACCAGCTATAAGAGCTATGTGTATTGTATCTGTGTGCTTTTCAGTGTGAGAGTGCGCACCATAATTGTAATTATAGTAATATGTTTTATGATGGTTCCCTCGTTTAGCAACCCCCACAAACACACACACACACACACACACTGCAAACAGGGAGACTGACAGCCAGACAGACCGACAGCAGTCTGCGTTTGTCCAAAATGTATCTAGATACATAATTGCCACATTCAGTCGTCATTAAATAGTTGCACGGCGCAGTTCACAGAAGCAGCAGCAGAGGCAGCGACTGCGACAGCAACACAGTCGTCGTTCTTGTTGTTGGTCGTCATCAACATCATCATAATCATCATCATCATCAACGTTTGTCGTTGTCGTTGTCGTTGTCGTTTTTCGTGCTTTATGGCGCTCACACTCAGAAGTCGTTCAGAATCGTTGCCATCGTGGTCGTGGTCGGTTTCGGTATCGGATTGTGTGCGTTCTGGCCTGGTCTCTGGTCTGGCTCTTGCTCTTGCTCTACGTTACGCTCGATTCCGTTCGGTTTCGCTACAGATTCGTTTCTGGGCTCTGTTTTGGTTTAGCTGCCGAACGCCGGCATAAAAACCGTTTAGGGGAGAGAATCCAAATGCCCAAAGCGAAAACCCGGTAAACCCCGTTGACCGGGGGTCCAAAAAGTCAAATTCAATTTACGCGCCGGGCTTATTATACTACACGTAATTATAATTATAATTAGGCATGAGGCCATACAAAAGATACGCCAAAAACTAAGTGGGTCTCGGGCGGGGAATGGAACTGGGACTGGGACTGGGAACGAGACCCCCTCAGAGCCTGCTATGCCTGCTATCCAAAAGTGTACTATTTTAATTAAGTGTGTGTGTGTGTGGCACAACAACAATGAGCGGCAGTCACGCATGTGTATCTCTGCAAACGTATCTTGTAGCTTGTAGCTGTGTATCTGTGTGTGCCGCTTTTCGTATCCATTAGTCACACATGAAACTAATTAGCATTTCGTCTGTTTGTTATTGTCGCATTTGCTGGTCAAAGGAATTAGCGCGCGGGCAAAAGCAAAAAGCAACGTCAAGCGCCATTAGGCGATATTACACACACACACACACACACACAAAACACACGTGTGTGTTTGTATGTGTGTGCCGTGTATTTATATCGAACTGGGCTCATTTCTTTTATGATTTTTGCTTGGCATTTCGCATTAAATTGTTGATTTTGTGCGTTGATTCCGTCGGGCAATCAGCAATGAAATTTATAATGCGACATCATCCGAGTGGCAGGGCAGGGGCCAGCCCGCTATAGCTATAGGAATTTATCAAGTATCACCCCACACACACACACACACACACAACAATAATTAAGCTGCAAGTGCAGGTACACTGCTGTCCGTAACAGCTGCTACGGCAGGGACACCACTTCTGCCCCGCTAATTGCCCTGCCATGGCACCCCCTCTCCTCCTGCTCGCACTCGCTTTTGCTGCTGTTTGCCTTTGCCCACTTTTCGCGCTGTTTTGTTGTGCTACTTTTTTGTTGCTTTTTGCTTTTTTGTTTGTGTGGCTTTCATTTCATTTTGCTGCTGGTTCGCACGCTCGAGTCGGCTCTCCTCTTGGACAGTTCGGTCTTCGGTGGCGGAGCAATTTGTCAAAGCGACGCAACACGCTGGCTGACAGGCTACGCAGCCGCACTGCAGCCAATTGATTTTCAATTTATTTTATTTTATATATTTGGCATCTGCAGATACACACACACAGATACACACTGCGTACACTGCCACACTCGATTTATTCTCATAAATAAATTATCAAGCTGAAATTGTGCACAAAAAAGGCAAAATATTTCAATTACTCAATTAAATTCAGTTGGCAAAAAGGTGTTATAAATAAAGAATTCGATTGAAATCTACCTCCATGTATGTGTGTGTGTGTGTGTGTGTGTGTGTGTGTGTGTGTTTTGGGTTCGTAATTGAAGTCCACTTTATGGCCGGCCGTGTGTTCGTTTCCCATTAATTGCGCGCCTGGCCATAAATGCCTGTTCCCCCTCGCTCATATTAATAATAAATAAGAAACAAAAACAAAAACAAAAACGGAAAAAAGCAAAATGCATAACTATATAATGGTAATCAAAATACAAAACTGCCATCACGGTGCAGCCAGAGTTCAAGTTTTAATTACCAGTTCGGTTCGGAGTGCACAAAACCAAACAAAATGCTCATAAAACCCTCATAAATAGCCCAGAAATAAATGAAATAAAACGCTTTGGACGGTACTCAATGAAATAAAACGCTCATAAAATACATGAAATTAATTTAAAGAAAAAGCATAAAGTGCAACAACAACAAACAATTCAACAAAAACCCCAATTAATTTTGTAAATGGCAAACGAAGCAGCCACCAAAAGCAGGCCAACAAGTACTACACGTGTACAGTGTGTGAATTTAGCGAGACAGCAATGCAACAACAATAATTGCTTAAATAAGTGCTTAAATATTTATAGGAAATCGTTGTAATAGTTGCAGTAGGGCATCCAGGCAAGGCAGTGCCATTTCTGAGACCTTAACGTGTTTAACAAACGATTAACTGAGAATAATGTGTATAAATGATTTAATAAGTTGATATTTGACTTTGTACTAAGTTAAAGTGTATTCTTCATGCTTTAATTGGGATCATTTATGCCCCATTTAAGCCTTGAAAACCACCAAAGTTTGCATTTAATCCAAATAAATTCCCTTTTCTCATTCCCGTCGGTATTTCTATCTTGTTTTAAAAATCCCACAAATGTCCTCCTTTGTATACAATTTGCTTACAAAGTGGTCTAAGACATTACCCAATTACCATCCAAATATCAAGCAAATTGTCTTTTGATTTGACGTGTCATGTGGCTCTAGCAAATTGCATGTTTTCACCACAGAAAAAACACTTTCATTCGCTTGTACCACTTGCAGCAATTAAAATCACTTCAATTCTGTGGGACAAATTAAATATTTCGCCACATTTCGAGTGCGAGAGCCAAGTGAAAATGGGCACCCCTTGCTCAGGCCACAAATAAACATAAATAAATATCAATTTATTTAATTAAATCGAAAAAATACAAAGAGCGAGGAGGGAGAGCAGAAACAATGGGCTGCCAATTATGAAACCAGAACACATTTCAAAATAATTAAAAATTAAATAAATGAACAATGTGCAGCTAATGCCAGAAGGAAACAACAAAATAAATATTAATAACAAGATACATGAAACCAAAACACTGAACACTGAAACGAAAATATTCGTGCATTAAAATTAATTCAAAATTGAAAAGGCAAAACAATAATCAATAATTGTCAATTGCCTGGCTAATGAATTAATTACATTTTCGCTGCCAGCTCGCTCGCTCTTTGTGGGCATTTGAAGCGTTTTTTTGCTCCCTCTATCATATTGAATACCCTAACAGAGGGTACTAGGACTATGTCAGAGATTTCACCATCCATTAGAGTTATCTTTAAGCTCAGTTCAGCGAGGGCATCGCAATTATCGGCCAAGAATTAAATTCCTTTTTTTTCAATAGAATTTTTTTGGTTTTTTTTATATATTTGTCGCGGCGCAGGCAATTTAATTAGGGAAAGTGGATTAATTGGCAACTCGTTAGACTAATTAAGGATTATAATCAACAGCAGAAGCCGAAGAGCCCAATGCCATCAACAAAAAGTGAACCAAAAAAAAAAGTAAAGGATATCAAGGAATAGAGGAACAAAAAACCGAAATGAAACCAACTCAAGCAAAATAAAAAGCGGAATATAAAACACACAAAAACACAGAGGGTGACCTTTGGAGAAAGCCAACAAGAGGCCAAGAGGCCAAGAGGCCTCCCCCCCCCAAGCAACAACTATAAATAGCTATAAAGAAAACCAAAAACGTTCAAAAAAGCAAGTGAAAATCATTTAATTGGATTTCCATTCACCTTGACTCTTGTTGGATACACCCCGCAACCCCCAACGGGTACTGCCCGCGTGGCCCACTATCAGGTAAGTTCCCCCCTTGACAGCCTGACATTATACATAATCTATAAATGACGTACGTAAAAATGTCCCACTTGGAATCTCCTCGTCACAGCACAGTGACAGGTCAGAGCCGTAGGGCTCACGCTCTAGGGGCCAGATAAGACGGACCCTTGCTTGTTTTTTTCATAGAAAGAGACGACCTTGTTTTTATGCGCATCAAAATGGCATCAGATGTGCGGGTCGGGTTTTCCCGTCTGTGCACTAAAAATCAATTTCAATTAATCAAAGCACATAATCGTGAGTCAAAAGGATTCATAATCGAACGAGATTAGCTTAGAAATTGACGTAGAAAATCTGATAACAAATTGCTGGACCGATCGAACCAGATAAATTTATTTTTGGGGGGGTAATACCCCCTTATCAACCCAGATACAAATGGGCAGATATTTCTGGCATCAAATTAGTTACATTTCGCCGGTAATCATGCTGTTGACATATAATTAATTTCCACTTTACGATTGCCATTTGGTTTTTGCCTGCGTCGACAGCTATTGATGACTATGGAAAATTAGCTAACTGAAAACTGTGTTTACTGTGTGCCCCCCCATGGCAGTTTCCCAAGCCCACAAACCCATGTCCAGACAGAAAACATTGCAACGGCCAACTGATGCAACTATTTGGTGTGCCAACAAATGATTACGGGGCGGTGCATTAATGTAAAAGAAAACTGGAAGGCACTTATTGTGGCGCGCAAACAAAAGGAGAGTCAAACATACAGATTGTGGGTAGAATTATTCAATCAAATCGATGAGCTAATTAGCCTGCAATTTGCATATTTGGCAGCTGAAAAGTGCACTTTAGTGCAGATTTATTAGCGAGAATTGTAAGCCTTCAAAACTTGACTAAGTTTGAGCGCTGAAGATGGAAATAAATATGTATTTCCACAACGATTATTCTAACATCTTATGGCTACCAATTAATGGCAATTTAATCTCTTCAAACTTCCACCTTTGCATGCCCAAAAAATGATACAAAAAACAAAAACCGCGCTGGCTTTCAGTCTATTTTGGTGGCAGATACATAGATAGATATAGTCTCGCTGTCTTTGCCAGTGATAATTAACCGTGTGTAAAGATAGCGAGTCCAAAATGCCGCTGCATCTACACTCGTATCTCTTTGGTTGAATATTTAGTGGCTAGCTTTGTGCCAGTCATCCGTGTCTGTCTGGCTTATTTGTTGGCCTTTAATTGAGTCATGTCATGGGCATTATGCATAATTAAGAGCCAATTTCATACACAGCCAAAGCCCCCAAAAATGCCAGTGCGTTGATATCTAATATCGCATATCGCATATCGCATATCGCATGGCATAGAGTCGTAACAGGTTCGCATTACCAGCTGAAATTAATTAAATTGTTACTCTCTGATTGACGGACAGACGTCTGACACTCGGCTGTGCGGAATAAATGAATGGATTGCCATTCCCCTGTACCTGCCATGGCATTCCATGGCTTGTGTTTTGCTATGGGCATGGAACTGGTCAGTCTCGAAGCTATGCGACTGCACAAACAGAACACAGGCTGGAAGTGGGACTGGGCCGATTACGCAAATATGTAAATGGTCGGCAAATGAAATGCAAAGTCAGCACAAAACCATTTGCAGCTCTCATTACAAACAATCACAATCACAGGTTGCCTGCATTTTTTCACGCTAATACTCATATGGAGAAAATAATAAACAAATAATCCAAATAATGGGCATAGCTTTTCCGGCTAAACGGAATGCATAAACAAAAGTGGAGTACGCTGATTAGGCTGCATGTAAATCAGAATATTTCCACAGCCAAATACCAAGCAGAAGGCAGTGGTTAAAGCTCAACAACAATGGTTGAATATGCTTATGGTTTATTGACAAAAATGCACCAAGAAAACAAACTCACCTGCTGCTACTTTCTGCCAAGAATATTACTCGATAAAATCTGCAAAATGAAACACAAAGAAATGTACAACTTTACATGCAATTATGCCTGATTATAGAACATTTATGGAACATTTAATAATTCAGTCCCAAAGTCCCAAACCAAAGAAAAGGCGAATAATAAATCGTTGAAATATTTATTTCTTCAGCTGAAAATTGCGTATCAATGTGCTGGCAGAAGGAAAAAGCTTAATTCGTTCATTAGCCACACATACTTTATTAATTATGAGCTGAACTTTCTTCTGTGGCTGCCACTCAAAGAGCCACAGAAGCAGCAGGAGAACAAGTTTCGCCTCAGATGATGGCAGACGTGCGATTACACAGAGCCTCCGCCACTGATGATGAGTCACGCAATTAAACGGCGCACATTAATACGAAATGCCAGCAAGGGGCAAGGCAGGGTCTGGCACTGAGACACGGGGTGCACTTGCTTATATGGCAAAAAGTGTTTTTTTTATAGCTGTACGTATTGGCCTGGAATCGTTACGAACTGCCAGAGCACCCATTCCAGCTCGGTCTCTTTCCTTCTCTCTCTCTCCTTTTTCTGGTTCTCTCCAAAGCAAAGTCAAGCCATTAGCAACATTTCTAATCGGTGATTCCGAGAAATCGAGACAGCAACATAACAAAATAAAGCACAAAAGAGAAGTCCGCACAACAAGTGGCTCGACATGAGGATACCTGATTCAAAATTGAGCTCAAATTAAGCTTAATTCTGACATATTTATGGGTTATAGTAAGCTTTAATTATCTGTTGTATCTTCTTTATCTTTACTCTTGATAGTTTTCCAAAAATCGAATCTCTCAGCACAATATGCCCCACAAGTACTCTGTATATGTAGTGGATATTTAATGACGGGTTGTGCGAGTAGACTCGTAAAACACACTCACACTCGCACTCATTCAATCAAGTTCGGGGAGCTTGCGATTGAGTGACGGCGGTTCGTCGACCAGTCCGTCATTCACTTAAGCGGCCAGTTGAAATATAAAACTAATTAGCGTTTACAGTCTCTCGCCACTATCCACTCTCCACTATCCACTCTCCACTCTCCACTCTACTCTGCAGTTGGCAATTCAATCAATATCAATTGGTAAATTTGCATTTTGCATGCAGCCCCAGCCAACAAGTCCATTTAAGTGGCTGCCAGCAAGTCGGGTTTCGTTTCGCTTTGCACACACACTGCATCTGTGTCTAATTGATAATTATAACTGTTATAAGCCAGTGCAGCTTTTTGGCTTTATCTGCAAAAGCAGTCGGGCGGCTTCCGCACTTTTTTCTCCCAAAAATGTTATTTTTAATTGAAACGAAACGAAACGAAACGAAACTCTTTTTTAAGCCCGCTCTGCATGCCCCACAATTGCTTTCAAAAAGTCAACAAAAAAGAGCAAAATACATACAAATATTTATGTACATACATAAAATGTAAATATGTATGTATTTATGTATATTGTGCCCACTGTTATGTATAACTGCAACCTGGGCCCCCACCATCAAATCAAAATTGAACGTCGCTTTGGCGGCGGAGTCGACGACTCGGTCCATTACTCTCCCAGTGATTTTGCCAAATGACTTCATTTCATATCAATTAAGTATTGTGCCTGCTGATTGTATCGCTCTCCTGCTCGCTGTGCCCTCAAAAAAAAAGTGCAAATAAGAAAAATACGGCACACACACACAAGTGCAGCTGTTGCCCTGCAAAAAATAAGAAAAAAACAAACACAGCCGAACGAACCTGATTCATGCGCTTAATTGCTTTGGAGCGTGTGCCGTGTGTCTGAACCTCAGTCGCAGTCGCAGTTCCAGTTCCAGTTCCTACTCCCCCTCCAAGCAACCAGCCCAAAGGTATGAAATCGAATTGTGCACACAAATGGGAGCAACACACACACATACACAGACACGTATCTGTAGCTGGGCTTTCAATAAAAATGACAGCAACAATTTTTGACAGTGGATACGAAAAAAACAAACACCAAAGGGGGAAACGCTCATAAAATATGCCGTGGACCTGGGCACGCCAATCTTGCAACAAACACCGGTCTGAGGGGCACGCACAGACAGACAGACAGACAGACAGACACAAACGGGGATACCGAAAGGGAAATGAAATTGAAAACAACAACAGAAAGATCAACAGATATTCGTAGCACGGCCCTGCCCTACAGACTATGGGTACAGATGTATCTAGGGATTATACAAATGGCACATTCCCAAGAGATCTGTGAGTAATCTATCAGAATTGATGCGCTTAAACATTCCAGAAAGCAATTCAGGAAGAGTTTCTGGAGTGAATTCTTCCACAAGTTGTGCTAGATTTAGGTAAGATTTACGAGAGTTTATGGCAGTAAACATACAGCCCTAAATAGTTCATAGTTCCTCCTCCTACAATTACTTAAAATATCACACTTTTATCACAAGTGGCTAATAAATAGCTTTCAGCTTCCCAATATGTACTTTAATTATGCATCTCCGCTCTCTAGCAGCAGCCATCAAATCAAATCCCAGCTGTGATTACTAATAACATAAACAAAGAACTACCCACAATCCACACAGAATAAAACCCCTCCAATGCGCCCAATCTACGCCATTTATCGGCTGGCTATGTTCTGGCTTCTTCAACGGGCATGGAACACACCCATCAATTAACTATTAAAACATAATATCAGCCAGATAAAGATAATGCCCATTGTGCTTATCTCTCACCCACTCCCACTCCCACGCCAACTCCAACTCATTTTGTGTGTATTTATTATAGCCGAATATTTTAGTGAGCCACAAATGCAATTAAGTTGCGATAAAAGTGGACATTTTATGTGATTTCCAACCAGCACAAGCCCCCCCTGGCAATCAGCTCAATCAGTCAGTCGGTAACGCTGCGGTACGCTGCGGCCAATCAATCTTAGATATTGTCGCCGCGCGCTGTTGGGGACCCCAATGCTGATAAGAAACGAAACGACATCGCAATTAGATAGTCGCCCGGCCTCAAAGATAAGAAGAGGAGCCGCCAACGGCGCACAGCTTTTATGGGTCGCCGCTGAGCGGAGCTCATAAAA